TAAAATACCTAACGTACATTCCTGAAAATTCTTTTTTCTTTCTTTTTTTTTTTGCCAACAAAGCTTTCAAAAATTATCTATTTTTAAATGAATCATTGAGAAGAGAATTTTTTGTGATATTGATATTAGTTGCTTGTTAAAATTGCATTTCAAATATGAAAACTTTTACAGAATCTATCGATTTCCTAAAATTTTCAATAAGTAAAACAAAGATTAAATGATAAGAAAGCATTTATAAAATGCTATAATACATTATGACAGAAATGAAAATTGAAAGTAATCCTTAAAATGTAGTATGAAGCAAAGATACTAACAAATACATCGTATTCGAAAAATTAGATTTTTCCATTTTTTATCATTAAGTGAAATGGAAGTGTAGAAAATAATTAACTTAAAAAAAAAAAAAAAAGGAAGAATCTATTAAAATCGGATAACAATATCGTTAACAACTTAATAACTGACGGTTGAAAATTTAAGTAAAAACAATTTACAGATTTCTTGTTCAACTGAACAAAATGATCAACGGTTGTGTGCGTGAGAGCGAGAGGACAAAAAAAAACGAAAAAAATTTGTTAGATAATTTTGTTTTTTTTTGCTTTTGTGAGGAAGAGCAGAGATAATTGGCACTTTTTCTTTTCAAATTTTTAGACTAAAATTCAAAATTTCATCAAGAAAAACAATTTTTGAGGATGAAAAATTTAATGGATAAATATTGAACGATCAGTTGTTAATTAAGACAAGCAAAATCAGGAAGGAACATATTTCTAGCCAACGCATGTGGAAAATGTTCAGTCATGTAGAATGAAATTGTCTTAAAATTAGCGTCTAATTGAATGCTAACAAATTCTCTTAAATATTTGTGACAAAAAAATAAGCTTTCAAGAGATTTATCGTTAATGCTAATTTGACCTGTCAGAAACCTTCGAGAATTCACTGTTCGTTAATGACTTCGAAAGTGATGAACAAAAAGAAAAAAAAACAACGAACCCTTCTCTTTTCATTTCAACAGCTTTTTTTATCATTTAACATTAATTATTATCAATAAAGTAATCAGCAAAGCAACGATATTTTATCCTAAATTTTACTTCTCCAAATGATATTAAATCACACCTTTTTACCTGCACAATGACATCCTTCCATATCCTATTGTAGACAGATGTAATCACTTCCAACTTTACTCTTATTTTTCGTTTTCAACTTACTTATTTTGCTTATCAGCTTGTTAAATTTCAAGAACCTATAAATTTTATCCAAATAATATTTTACAATGTAGCAGAATTTCAAAAAAAAAAACAATATAAAAAACAAAAACAAAAAAAAGGAGAAGTACCCTTTACGTGCAAAATGACACCGATATCATACCTATTTTGAAACAGAAATAAGATCATTATGTGGTTCGTTTTGCAGCAAAATTATGAAATTAACATAAAAAATATTGTTTTAGAATTTAATTGAATTTGAAATTTAAAATATTATCATTTAGAAACATATTTCTAAATACGCAACAAATAAACTCAAATTAGACAAGAAATGAATTTAATCTATAGCGTGTTGAAAGTTTATCAATGAAATTTGAGTGATCATTATTTGAAGTAAGCTTTAACATTTTCATTTCTCAATGCAAAAAAAATAAGGAAAAAGATTGTTTCTTATATAAATTAAATAAAAT